CTCTTGTGTCATCGTCGGTAGGTTTGCTTTTTTAAGTAGGCTCATGTCGGGTCTTTGCATGGCATCTGCAGCTTCTAACCGAAGTTCAGATGGAAGCGTTATCAGTTGTCTACGCAAATGTTCTAACACTTCCGTCGCTATCTGCTCGGATTGAACCACGAGTCTTAGAAGTTTAGAGCCGCAGCCGCTATAATTTGGTGAGAGAGGTAGCCTTTTGAGCAATCGCGCCACCACGCTGTCCAAACAAATGGTTTCACGAATAAACCGCTACCGTCCCAAATCCTGATTAACGATCTCATGACTACCGTGAGAAGCAAGTTCTGGCACGCCATAAATAGAGCTTGTGCTTAGACAATCCAGCTTGCTGTGTCCTTCTGCGATGTTACTTGTAGCTTGTCGCATGCTCCAATGGATCTCAGGATAAACACGTACTCTACAGGACCCGCGATGTAGCGACCTAGGAGGCAGTAACATCTTTCTTTTACCTCAGGGGGAGATTTCAGTGTGTATCTACTTAGTATCGGTTAGCCATAGTGTATAGAGTTCGGGTGACGAGTAACTCCCATTAGGTTTGCGTGTTTGGCTTGTACGTTCATCAAAATGCACAGTAAGTTCCACTGGTCTTGATTGTCTGACAAGTTACCCCGCAATGTGTTGGCGGTAGTTTCGGGGACATTTGTACACACAACAGTTAAGGCGTTATTGTTGTATCCCCATTTTGTTGAGCGGCTAGGTCGCGTGACCATTGGTCCCGGCTTTCTGCCAAATGATGACGCTCTGCAGTTTGTCTCTGTTCGCGTTAGCGGTGTCTTTATCCAAGGAAGCCCTAAATATAGCGTCCCGAGTAACTTTTGCTGCGATCTCTACTTAAGTGAATACAATCCCATGGGATGTGAACTCGACCAGAAATCTTGAATTGCAGATGTAGATGACTCGTGTTCGGCTGTCCCATCCTTGATAATGATACAAATTGTTAAGATCGTTGGAATTTGATTGATCACTCGTTTCGTGTGGTGCTTGAGTTCCGTGGTACTGAGTAATGTTTGAATTTCAGAGCCCTAGTCACATTTCACATGGCGTACTTTCAAACGTGAAGGGGGTAACGGCAATGGGGACCTTGTCGATCATGGTTCGGGCGAAGTAGATTTTGCTGCACTGCCTTTTTCTAGAGACCAGTGTGTTGGCCTGGTTCATACACGCTTCAAGTGATATAGTTTTGGCACTCATTTTCTGTTCCTCTTCTTTTGCTAAGCACTTGCACTTTTGGAATAGGATAAGTAAACATTTAAATAATGGAATGGTTGAACACACGGTACCAAACTAGTGGTCTTCTTGGAAGTGTTTGTAGATCTCACGTGTTGTTGGGTACTGGTTGCACACTTTGGGTGGTGCCATTTGAAACAGTGGAAGCAGGCGAAACCGAATATAGCTGATGGATTGCATTCTGCCGATCCACGTTGACCCTTCGCTTAGAGCCTTTTTGGCTTCGCACCTACTTGCTTTCCGCTACTCAGCACAGTGTCGCTACGCTACAAGGTGAGCTAGTTGATGTTTTTTGCTTTTCAAACTGTTGAGCTTCTCAGTCAGACAAGCAGTGTAATCCCAAAGGCCAAGCGTGGGTAGACTGGCGGATGATGTGGATGCGCTGGTTTGTGTGCTGGGTTATGCCGGTGCACTGGTTGACAAGGTCCCAAAAATGGCGATTGGCTTTGAGTTAATTATCAATTCCAATTGAAGGCTGATCGAGAAGCAACGTAGTAGGAAATAGGAGATAGCTGCCGCAAGTGGTATTATAGAAAGAAGCTCTTTCGACCGACTGTAAACGGTCCACGAAGTGTTTGAAACCGGATTATTGCAGTGTTGAGTTTCAGTAACAAAATCCGTCTCAAACACAGACGGGAAGCAGATTTTGAAACGATAAGAATAACCGGAGAAATATATATGAACCCTGTAAAGCTGGTATATCCGAGTCGAATGGATGTAAGCTCAATTGAGTGCAGCAACTTGGGGAGGAATGGTCCACAGAAAGGCAATAGCGTCGATTCGGAACGACCGCACGCGACCACGAGGATTTTATGTAAGCTTCGTTATACTCACAATGAAGGTAAGAACCCTATGGTCGCTCTTACCTAATTGTGGCTCTATGCGCAGTTCTGTTAAGCGGCCATGTTTAGTGATCAGGACGTTCAGGGTAGTGGGGAAAACCAATTATGATTCCTGGTCGTAACATGACCTGTTGTTCTAATGATTTTTCTTGCATCCACTCTACCAATTCCTGCCCAAGGCTGTTCTCTCCGTTGAAGACATGCCTCAAATCAGTAGGCAGAAGGTCTAAGTGTCAAACAATCAGAAAATTAGACTCAGCGACCGCCGCAGGCCTCAGTGAGGTACCAGATTCCTTAGCCATCTTTTGTGTGGTAGAATGGATGCGGGAGTCATACGTCATAATCCTTAACCTGCTCCCCACGGTCGAAAAGCAGGATACTATCTGAACATCCACAGTGCCCTTGATAGATGGCGTCTCTCAATGCTTACACTGGTATTTTATAGGTTCGAGGACTTTTTCATTATTTCGATGCCTAGTCCGACTTTCTTTGTATCTCACGAAGTTACCAGGTAGCTCAAGAAGCAAGTCTCTTGGCGTAAACTACTTCTCCATCTCAGCAGCCAAATCAGCGCACGCACAACTCATCATCAACTTTACCCATTATTTATCGCTCTACCAACGTTGGTATGCCTACATCTAGTTTGCATTGACGCGCTTGTTTCCACTCACGCGTAGGACTCGAAGGACAATCTTATTTACGATTCCGTTTCATTACTGTCCACCACCTGAATCGCTGGATCAATGCTGAGCTCTTATAAAGCATCACAGAACAAATCTTTCCTTGGCCTCGTGCGAATTCATTTGTTGGCCAAACAGCCGACCTGTTTCCTCCTCTTAAATGAGCGGCTCTGAGTGCACTGCTCATCGAATTCGCTGCATGGTCTACCTTGGGTATGTTGGAGTGTTTCATTCCCATGACAGTATGTGAAATGATCGCAGCAGTCATGGACTCTTGTGCCGCTGGTATTGAACGTGAAACATTTAATGTATCTGGTCGCTCCGCCTGGAAGCTCGTCTCTCTCCTGCTATCGAGATCAAATTGATGTTGCCTTTCAGTGCAATTTTCTCCATAGCCACAATCAAGGCATGAATTGTTCCGTTTGCGTCTCTCGTTCTTGTGAAATGCCAGCTGAAGTGCACTAGTAAATAAAAAAAATGCCAGCATCACACTGATGAGAGTCATCTCTTTGTGGCTAGCGCTTGCGCTGTAGTAAATATGAGGCAAGCGCAGTGTTTCCTGGGTGGTAGCCTCCTGTTAGCAGTATAACTGCAACTACCGAATCGCGATATCGGGTTTAAATCTCAGACGGTTTAACGTTAACAGAAGCGTACACACAAAAATATACCTAACTGTGGACAGCAAGGGGGTAAGCCGACATCAAAATTAATGCTCCTTTCTCAAATACAGTCCCACTCCCTGAGAATACCAGAGTTCGCATCAAGTGTGGTAAGTTTTGTTTGGCTCTCCTTACTGAACAGTTCTGTTACAGACGTCTGGTCACCAGTCGATACGATAGCGTCAGTGCTTCACTGCATGGCGTGAAATCTCACTAAATGGGTTGTCGGACCTTGATAGACTAGCGTGTGTCGTTTGAACCTGACCTATTCGTCTCATGTCCCGTGACCTTTGCTCGTTCGGTGTTCGGGCGCAGCCCCTTTCTGTCTCAGGTTGTGACTTATGCTCCGCCTATTTTCTTTCCCACTTGTTGTTACACTCGATTTACGCCAATGAGCAGGGTTATTTAATTCTGTGCACAGAATCAGCTTTCGGGGGATTCTCTTCTATTTCTCATCTTACTGTGCCAGAACTTCATCTATGTCCCAGTTGCAGTTATGATCCTCCTCATCAGCATACGCTAAGATCGATAATGATAAGTAATGGTTGCGGTAGGTTTTTTGTGTTCTTGTATTCTTGTAGATAATTTCCTTCCTGTTTGGCCTACATAGTGTTTCTGGCAAATTTCGACACTATCCTGTAAACAACATTCCGGCCTTCGTATGCTCCTGTTTTCCTTTTCGGTTTAGACAAGGTTACTTTTGGAGTGGGGGTTGGTATGCAAACTAAAATTAGGTGATGCGGCTTTAGGAGTCGAATGGTCATTTTCGATTCGTTCTTGATATACAGCAAAGTGATACGTCCAAGAAAAGTAGTTGCTTTTCCATTCCTGACTCCTTGGTGAAACGAGTACCGTCCATGGTATTGTTGAAAATGCATTGTGCAGCCTGCAGTCAAATATGATTGAGTATTACCACGGTGTCGTCAAAATAACAAACCCTCAATTTCAGGCTTATGTTGGAGAGTAGGTTCGCCTCTAATTGTTGCATCACACCGGCTACAGTGAGTACAGATACCGGGGATCCCATGGGGATCTTTTTCATTGCTCAGAAAATACTTCATTGAATTTAGAGTATGTTGTGAGGCACAATTCGGGTAGCTTGCTTATACTATCGGTCGTCAACTTTCCAATTGTTACTCCGCCATCATTCAGGCGTTCCCTGCTGTTTCTCTTCACCATTTGTAACTTGACAAAGGTGGATGGTGCGGCAAAGTGTGGTTCACAATTTTGCTCCCGATCGTGAAAGAAACGCATGGTAGTTATCCAAGCCCCCTCTTCCTCAGTTTGTGTAGAGTGTAAAAGTGTGCTTTGTAAGTTGAGCATAACCTTCCATGTGTTGTCAAGAATTAAAAGGTTGAGATGGGAAATGGGCTTAAGCGAAGACAGTTGTAGAATGGAATAGGTTAGATATTTTCTGTTTCTCGCGCCACCCAGGAACCGCACCTGACAACGGTAGAATGCATTTTAACCATTTCACTATTCAGGTTACATACGCTCTTCGTCAAATGTTCCCCTATAATGCACTTTTGGCATTGTTACATTATTAATCTCTAAAGGATCATGATGAGACGGGACCAATGTCGAAGGCAAATGAAGGCACTGGAAAATCTACGGCATCAGAGGTGACTTTCGCTAACGGTGCTGTAGATGGCAGTCCAATTCCTCCAAAAGCCACTACGGAGAGCATGGATGATGAGGACGATAAACACCAATCTGAGGCCCAAGTCGGAGACAAGGTAATGTTTGTTCAATTGTCAGCTTGGCGAGAGGCTGCAGTTTCCTTTTGGGTGACGAGCATGTGAATGTTTTTGGTGACAATTTCTATACAGTGCATTGCATTTGACTGCGTGCGAACCTGTTGAAACGCCAGCAACTAGTTAGTATGCCTTTTTCTAAATTCTGCTATTCCTCGCCCAGTATTCAAGCCTGATCCACCTCAGCCTACCTGGCAACATGGCAGTAAGAACTAGTCGCTAAGTCTGAGAAAGTTATTGCAAATATTAATTACAAGGACAATCTAGCATTTGGTGACAAACGTGGAAATTGCACTTGGCTTCTGCTGAGATGGAACTGCCGGATGCTACTACCGTGTGGTATACCACCATTTGATCATTGAGGTTCGTCACAGCCAACTTCCAAATCAGCTAGTCTTCCACGTTCCCGGAAAAGCACTAGACTACCGTTTCCGCCTGTTGGGCATCATCAATATTGTGCATCCATCGAATCCATCAGGATTCGAACCCATGACCACCAGCGGCTTGTACCGCCAGTTAGCAGCGTATGCCACCAAGCCACTGGGGACAGTTTCGGACCGTCATGATTTACAAGCCAACTGTGATATAGCGCGTCTTATCCTCCACTGCCATGCAGGTTACGAACGTTGCAGAGGACAGGGTTGGCCCCGAAAGACATGACGGCACTAGAAGTAGCTATGTACGAAATGGCGTTTAGAAACTGTTAGGGCGGATATATTTTATGTATACATGATCGCTTCACGATCACCACTTTAGTTAACGGTTCACCATAACTTGGTTTTTAGTTGCCAACTGGCTAGTGAACGGATCAACGCATGGATTGCCGTCCGTAACGGCAACAACATAGTTCTTATACGTTCTATCCATGCGTATACCGAAGTTGGTAATGTTGTCAACAGTTCCAAAATCAGCGTTGTCGTTGGAGACCTGTTAACACTGGGGTAGTAACTTTTATATGCGACCTCTTGTAATAATAATAATATATTTCTCATTGAGTGAGAAACTTTGGCCATATTTGGCACAGAGCGTAGTTTACAGTATAAGTCATGCTCATGCATGAATGGTAAATATGTTGTGATTTTCATAGCTTTTGCTGTTTCAACGGTTTGTATTAACTCACAGGTGTGTTTCGACACAATGTGCCCTAGCTTAAATAGTGAATGGTAACAGCACTAGGGATGTGTGATACATTATGAAAATTTTTTTACTCATTAGTTGTTGTCTGGTACAAGTTATCAAGTGATCTCTCCAAAGAGAACAGGGTCATAATCGTGTTTAAATCTAGGTAATTGGTGAGCGTAACGCGAAAGTCCGTTGCAATCTCACACGATCTGATTGTGACTGGGAACTTGTTCCACAGGGCAGCATATCTGATAAGGAGAAACTTAGACCGAAGATTTACCCTGCAGCTGGGTACACTCAGGGTAAACTCATTATTATGTAGCTCCCTTGTCGAACTATGTTGTAGTCCTAGGGAGGGCAAATAGCAGTGGGCGCTTTGATGAATCATGTTGTACAGAAGCATCAGGTTATGTCTCAATTTTCGTAGCCAAAGCGGATCTAGCTGGAATTGTTGGCAGCACTCCCGATAGTTCTTAGTGGATGTTTTGCCTAGCAGTCGCTTGGTAAATGACCTTTGTATGCTTTCTAGAGATACTCTGTCAGATTTCCTCATGCTGCCACAAATAATACTGCAGTATTCCAAAATGGGGTGAGTGAGGATGTTGAAGAGTTCTACATTGGCTGGGGTTATGTGGATCTTATGTACTATATAAGCTGTTGCTTTTCTTGCCCTAGCCAGCTAGTATTCCACTTAAGAAGAGTTTAAGGTGCAAGACTACCCGATTCCTAGGTCGCGGGTAGACAGCTGTACACAAATGTTTTCGCCGTTTAGTGTAATTGATCCCTCGGGTATGGAATAGCCGCGATACATAATGCTAGATTTTTTCGCCGAGAACTTCATCCAGGTGTCACACCACTTCTCAAGGGAGTGAAAGTCTTCCTGTATGAGCAATAGTGTATCTTGAAGTTCAGCTCTTAGGAATTTGCAGACTATTTTCATGTCATCTGCAAATAGAAAAGACATGCCATGACTGATAACCGCACTGATGTCATTGACGTAGAGCAAGAACAGTAACGGACCAAGTACACTCCCTTGAATTACCCCATTAGTGATTGGACGTGGTGAAGAGTGGTGGTCGGCTATGGTAACTACCTGAGAACGGCCCCTCAGGTATGACAGTAGCCAGCCTTGGAGTGGGTCCGGAATTACAAATTAAGCAATCTTTTTCAGCAACCGTTTATGGGGCACTCGATTGAATGCCTTTTCCATGTCCAAGAACAGAAGTATGATTGCGTATCCTGAGTCAATAGAATCCGAAACATGGTTTAGATAATGCAATTGGCAGGTTATGCACAATCGTCTGTCCAGGAAACCATGCTGTGACCTGTCTATTAGCTCCAGCGAATTGATGGATTTCATCACACCATTCTTAACTAGTTTCTCTAATATTCTGGCTACTACAGGGGTGTGACGGATTGGCTGGAAATTATTAATTTCTTGTTTGGAGCCACCCTTGTGACATGGGATGATGAGCGATGTTTTCCACTGGTCTGGAAACGAGCTTGATTCCAACAAAAGGGTAAACGTGTTCAGCAATAGTAAAGGCACGTCAGGCCCTCCCAGTTTTATGACGGCAGGTGGGATACCATCAGAATCCAGATTGGAAGACTGTTTAGTAGAATTCATTAAATGTTGGATATCAATGATGGGAAATTCAATGTTACACAGGACGTTGGTTGTTTCAGCTCCAATGATTGCATTTAAGGGGTCGTCTCCAGGCTCATGGAGGTAGCGAAAGATGAGCTAAACGCTTCGCAGATATCGGCTGCGTAACAGCCCCCACTTGAACAGCTAAGCAAGCTAGCCCATGGACTCACATGCTTTTAGAATTGGAAAGACTTAAATCATTGCTTAGTGGATGTGTGTGATTTGGTCGACGAAGGCAAATTAGATCGCCTTCACTAGTATAGCCAACCTAAGGACTGCCCAAGGGCTGTTGAACTCACATTTATTGTCATGAGGGCCACATGGGTCATGTTTGTGCTCATGAGCGCTACACACCACACCTAATTGTAATATATATGTAGCGCTGAATCACATTGAAAATGACTCGTTCTGTGTGATTTACTACTTACATCTTATAGAGATGCGAGGTAACGTATAAAGTTTATTTCACGATAGCTTTTATTAATTTGGCTGCACTTAACTTTTGGCATTCCAGTCGTTATTTGATATTTCTCGCTCCTTAAGCCTTTATTGGGCTGTATAGTCCGAAAACTGCATTCTTAACACGACGTAGAGTTTGTTAACCCTTGTTTCATACAATTTTGCCTACTTTTATGGGCCAAAAAAGGACAGTGTACAGAAGTTTGCGTGTCAATATATGATAGGTCAGTCTTTATTTTATCTGCTTTGCATCGCTCAGGCATTGAATGCACCAGCTTTTGAAGATGTTCGCAATGGATGACATTGTTCTAGGCATCTATAAGGGACTCAAGGAGTTCTCTTTTTGTCATTGGTAGTCTGATATTACTATGGATAATATGTGGCAAAAAGTGTTAAATGGGTTTAAATCTGGGGACTGAGCTGGCCAAATTTAATGTCTACGCTTCAATTTCTCATCCATTCTGTGACTTCGCTTGCAGCATGGCATGGTACAAAGACGTACTCATTATTGCATTGCTTCTGAGTTGCTGGTAACGTGCTGTATTTGCGAATCTCCACATATTTTCGTGCTTTGACCATGCCACCAAGCATATAGTCTTCCAAATTCATTAACGGCCATACAACCTCAAATCATGATTGCTGTTGCATAATTGACGGAGAGAATGAGACAAGGTGCATTGTATTCTTCCCCTGGAGATCGTCGGACAAATGTGCTGCTAGGAATTCGAAGAATGCACCAATGAACCCCCATCACTAAACAAAACTCTCTCCCAAGCTTTCTTGGTCCAAATGAATAATTACTGGCCCTTGCCATTTTTCATTTGTATTAGACCGAGTCACTCATTCCTATCTCTTCAGCCTTTCAGACCGAATTGCAAACGCCATCCCCTTAGGTTAAAGTACACAGATGCACAGAACACTTTTCCTTCCATTACGCAACAACTAAAGAGATGTAAGCTTCTTTTCACCCATGGATATCCTCAGCAACACCCGGTTATGTCAGCACGTTAACTACTTTGGTCAACCACATTAGTGGCTGTCATCTACGCTTCCATTGTTAGTTTGAGTTTTAATAAGCCTGATGACTGGGCTTTGATTATCGACAACTTTCGCCGCATTTTCCCTACTTTAACAGCCTATTTCATGAAGAAATAATACTTTAACTCGCGTAACTTTTCCCGTTACATAAAGAATCGTATGACAAAACCTCACCCAAGCAGAAAAAGTGTTAGGAATTTTCACTAAGGTTCACTCCAAATCTACGAATGTATATGCCGTTCTGTTATTGGAGGGAGATTCTACATCCCTATTGCAGAAAAATTACACATTTTGTAAAGTACGTTTCGGTTCCAATTTGACATACTTAAAGCATTCTATACCAACTACGCCATAGGGTCCATTCCACTAAATCTTTTGGAAACCAAAATAAAGTTAAGCAAAATATACGCACTAAAATGATGAGCATAATTATTTTTTAGTTACAGGATGTATAGTTTATGTGTAACTGTTTTTAGGCGACAGAGCTATCAACTTATGGATTTCCGTTCTTTGCTTGTTGGTGCAGCGCTTTTGCACAACGATACGTACATGGCGCAAGCTTCTCAATAATCGTCGAAACTATTTGTGGCTCATTTACACGGAAGTATGGAGATGTACGGGGCATGGTTGATCATGAACAACACCATAACTCACATACTGGATGACCTAAGGAGGATCGTGGGTTCGTCCATTCAGTAGAGGTTTCTTTCACCCAGATTCTGCATTCCAAACATTATAGAAGGCTTTTGATGCTTTTGTGTCCAATATGGAACGTCCTAACTGTGAATTGACATCTGAGGCATCGAGCAGTTTGCTCGAAACACGGAAACAGGTAACATTGGGCACTGAGTTTCAGCCTGTCCATTAACGCTTTACGACGACGACTGACAAGGATTCTTCAAACCGACCGGGAACGTTAGTGGTTGGCAAAGGCCCGTGAAAGGACCAGTAATATCGCGAACAGTCGAGTGCTATTCCAACTCACCCAGAACATGGGTACGAGAAAGTCATCGGTTGGTGAGACAACAGCTGCGAAAGACGGACAGTTGACTCTTCCTTAGCTTGTTTGGCGGAGGATGTTGGAGAGAAATTTGGCGGGACTGGTGCGACACTGCCTTTTCTGAATTCTTTGAGACATCGCGGGAACTTGATGCCACAACTCCCATCCACGAAGACGTCACGCATTAGCCTGACAATGCCTCATGATCAGCTTCTTCATGCTTACGTCCCGTCATCGACTGGTCACCTCGCGGTTTCACCCAACTTGGTGCCGCCATTACGTATAATGCCCGCCTAGGAAGCTGGTCAACGGGCATACGAAGGAAATGGCCTAGTCAACGTAACCGATTGAGATTCAGCAAACGTTTGAGTGTGGCACAAGGCTTCTTGGGCGAAACCAACTGACGGACCTGATCATTACTCACCCGGTGTTCCCACCATCATAGGCAATACTCCACAAGCACCGGTAGTCAAACACGGCCAAGCATTTAATGTCTTCACTGTGGATGGGTCAGGTCTCTGATCCGTACGGTTTCATCGCAGCGATAAACACCCCATATCACGGACTGCCTGATATACTGCTGTCTACATAGATAGTTGAGCCTCGGGAGAGCCACCCTGGTCTTGATACCCCGAATTACCTCCGTGATATGACCATCAATGTGACACAGCTACCAGTGTAAGTGAACCGATCTACCTCTTCAAGGGGTTGCACACCCATGGCAAGAACAGGGGGTGTTCGTACCAGTCTTGCAACATTACTTTGCACTCTGAAGGTACATAGCACGTATCGAAGCGTGCAGCGTTACGTACCCGTCTATATGGTAGTGTTTGCATAGTTACTGCGTCGGATCCAAGGGGAGCTATGTGGTCCGCATAATTCAGGTTTGTCAGTCGGTAAAGTGAAAGAACCGAGTAATTCGTGATCATTTTGATCAGACAGTTGAAGAGGAAAGGAGATATAGGACAGCTCTGGGGAACGCCATTTATTGTGTGGTACTCGGAAGACAGCGCCCGTATACTCTTACACGGCTTCGGGAGTCACGGTGCAAAGAATTTAGAATGAAAAGGAGCTTGGCTGGCACGCCCTTAAAGGATATACCTTGCCACATGCTTAGCGTGATCAACAAAATGGATAATCTCTTTCAATTCAAGGAAAAGCGCCATAATTGTTTGTCTGTATTTGTCCCTGCTCTAAAAGTTGACCGAGAGTACAAATACAGTCAACAAAATCACGAGCAGGACGAAATCCAGACTAGCTTTCAGTGATTCGGCTCTCACGAGCACCAGTAAGTCGTCCAAGAATGATTTCCCTGAGAAGTTTGAAGACAATGGCAAGCTAATGCCTTGATGATTTTCGCACAAATTACACTAGCCCTTCTTTAGTATGAGAATTACTGTTGACAATTATTTAATGTTTTTCCGGCGATGTGAGCCGTGGCAATTTAATCTACTGCACTTTGGTGACATAACCCTAGTTGTTCAACTGAACCGAACTGAAATCCTGCAGAAATCTTGTTTTCGAAGGTGAAAGCGTCGTTGAGACGCCTGCTGACCAAACTCGCCTGACCAGACGCTAAATACAGTTATTCAAGCGAGCTTTGGAATGGTTAGCCAGTAAGACTACGCGAACTGCGTCCTCGTTTTGATGCAGAACTGATAAAGGCAGCATCGAGAAGTTCTTCATCAACTGACTGTTATTAGCATTGTTTTTGCTGACACCCTGCTCGAAAAACAGTGTGTCTAGTTTGATTTAGAAAACCCTCTGTTGAAACTAAAAATGGTATTTTTATAAAGATTCGTCGCAGCTATATTCAAGCTGTCTACCTGTCTACAAGCGTGTTTGCAAAAGCCAGCATGTTGTACACAACTGTTCAACACATCAAAGAACGATGGACCGCGTTGCGCTGCTGCCTGTTTCTATAACATATAGAGCGCCTCCGTCTCCGATAATGGTGTAATCCAGCACATCCTTGTAACGGACGGTTCCCTGGACTTCTTTAAGGCGTACACTGCTAGTTGGTACCAAATATACGAACCTGAACTCCTTCTTTCCATATGTGTGATAATTAGTAAATTCGGTTCAGCTGCGATTGATCTCATTTGAGCATTACATATTTTAGGAAGCAAACAGCCCTTTGTTATTGTACTCTCCTTCCTTAAATCTATAATTTGGATTTTCAGATTTTTCATCTAAGAGAAACAAAACTGTTGGGAAGCGTTATGGATGTCAATGTACAGGCGCCATTTTATACTTCGTCTTATTCGTCTACTTTTACATGCAGCTAAGCGACAATCCGGACATTGGTTTTAACCGAATCCAGAAGTTCATCATAGATCAAACCGAGAAGATGCGATCCGAAAAACTTCAATTCCCTGCCGGGACGGATCCGGTGCAAACCACGAGCAACTCTACCGCATTATTGGCCACACATTTCGACGTAGCCGTCGTCCGCTGTCTCTATTGCTCTGAATGGACAGAGCCTGGGGTTTACTGGTCACTGCTCTATCTATTCAAGCGTCTTCTTCAGGTACGATCAGACTGGGCTCAAGTGAAACGAGAAACGGCGAAATTAATCCGGATGACAAAAGGGCGCGCAGTACAGCATTGTCCTCAAAAACCGTACCTATTCTGGAGTCATATGCCTAGTGCATTACTGTTAAATATTCGTAGTGCCTCAATGCCAGAACTGTCTCACACCAGTTTCAATAGGCCAATCCCATCGTCATTAAATCAAACCGATGCAGCGTGGCGTCCGGATGTAATGGGTGAGCACAACGTATGACCTGTTCCGTTATTCGTGATTTCACTTTTTCAGTTAAATTAGTCCTAGCTGGTTATTAAGACGATAGCTTAGTTTCTCAGTTTATCAAATCAGGTGTGTGGCCATCGCAACTGCGGAAATGTAAGCAAGTCAGTGATGTAGTTGCTGGCGTAAAATCTTGTTACTTCTGGTCACGTTTTCTCGAGGATTACATTCTAAGCTGTCAGAAAGCTATGCGATAGTTACACTATCAAATGAACACATATACACCGGTAATATTGATGAGGTATTCATCCTGGATGCGATCAGTGTCATGTATTACTTCTCAAATACAATTTTTTCATATTCTTTGCGCCTACTCTAACAGGCTGAAAATTCATCACCTCCAAATATATTGGTTCCACTAGAATATAGTAGTCTAAGTAAACTGTGTGAAAACGAGGAACAGCGAACATTCTTGTGCTCCGGACAAATACGGTTGCCTAGATTGAAACTACGATTTTATTTAATCTGACACCTCATTTTTCATTATGTGCACACCTGAGGACAGCGTTACTCAAAACCAATCATTCTGTGGACGCACGCATCATTTATTTACTAAGTTCTTCATTCAGCGTAATTCGTATTCACCCGTGTTACCGCATCGTTTTTGCACTCTTCGTTCCCACAGAACTTTTCCTATCCAGATTCGGGCCGCACACACAGTTTACGCTCCTTCGGATGGCATTACTTTGCTCCATCCGATATGCCACCTTGCACTGAATTATTCCCCCGGGGTCACAATTCCAATGACCCAGAGTGTTTTCATAGCTCTCGGGTACAAAATTATCACCTTTGTGTTGTTTTACTGACTGTTACTGTATTCAGTAGAGCGATCTCGGAGCTGTCCAAAAAGCTTGGACTCGCTCCACAAGGCATTGCAAGGAATCTAGAGGGCAATTTGTTTACCCATCACCTGCACCCAGCCTTCATATCAAAATTTCCCTTTCAACACTCACCGACGAGCCGTCCACAGTGATTGAATAACCTGCCAACTTGCCCTGCTAGTCTCGTGTGCACGCAAATACTACTTGTGACCGACCATGTGCATCGTCACATTGTTGACTCACACAATCGGCCCGTGATCTGAAGCATACTTGCATAAGTCTAAACATAATGCAACGCGTCGTATGCTCATTTTGCCAAGGCGGTAAATTCCTTAGGGTTGAGACAACGTACTTAAACAGTATTACTGCATTCCCCCCTAAATACGTTGATTTTAGCAAAAGAATCGAGGCACGCAACAAAATAACTAACTGCTAGCTCACAGCTCCCGAGACGCCACAACGTGCAACAGCGAAAAATGTCAACAGTTCTCACTATCTCACGAGCCAGGAACAGCAGAAGAAAGTCGGAGTGTTCAGTGGACGCTCTCGGAGACTACGTGGAGATCTCAGCTTAGTATACCAAGTACTGAAGGACCTCAATCACGCATACCGTGTCTTCTGGATCTCAGTTCAAACACCAACTTGGGAAGAAACAGCTTAAAAGGAAATTGACAATACAGTCGTCTAGATTGTGGACGAACTTGCTTCGCTCTCCTGGTCGGCAACTCTGGAACGCACTTCCCCACTCAATTATCAGTGCCCCAAATTCGGCCCTTTTTAAGAAGCATTTGCATGTCGCTCTCAGCTCACTACAAAGTGTTACATGAGAGAATACTCTAGCTTTAGTTCGACCCACTATCTTTTGTTACCATAATACACGCCGACTCATGTGATTCAATGCGGGCGGGAGATCAATCCAATTGTCGTTTACATTTGGCATTAACCATACTAACTTGTGATACTTTTTGCATGATGTTGTCTCAATACCACAACCCTGCTTTTAACATGCTGTTGCCATTAATTCACATCATAGTTCTAAACATAAAAATCTGAAGACGTAAACTATTAATTGATTCAGTCAATTCCTACAAGCTCATCTATCATGACCATGCAAAATTATAGATATACGAAACATCGTCATATGAAAGCAATAGCCTTGGCCGCTCGTCGTGCCTCGCGCTACCACGGTAATTTCAGCTACACAGCTGTGTCTGCACGCAAAGCCAGTAGCCGTTCTCTATTGCACATAGTGGCATCCGGTAATCTGAGAATGTGTGGCCGCTGAATGCGCATTGGTCATTCACCATAATGATGCGCATCCCTTTCACACCCCACTGAGGACAGGGAACAGTGCTGAATGCCTACCGTAGGTTCTTGCCCTGCCTAACTTATTAAGACCTACCGCCCATATGATGACGAGTTAACTTTGAGAACTCCGTTCTTTACTAGGCATTGCAGTACAACTGATTGGTCTATTGAGTCGAATTCAGCCCGAATGCCCAGGGAGGCACACTGGTGTATCTGCGTTAGAAGTGTCGATATTCGGGGAGCTGACGAAGTGTGAACTTTTATTCCACGTATCCTGACTAGGACGAAAACAGTCCTGTTCCCCCCCCCCCCGGGTATCGTGTCTCACGAGTTGGGGATAGCCAACGGAGCAAAATGGATGCTAGTAACTTGGGGACAATTGATGCCAGCCTTATGTCCCTGTGATTTGCGCCTGTAGTAAAAAAACCTTACAATAATATTGGGACAACTACTGTCTTTTTCAAAGAACCGAGTTACCTGTCATCTTGCGGGATCCTCAGGAACAGGGACGTTAGCTGATTAGCAGCAGCTGTGCCACCGTACTTGTACAATCCTGTGAAAATTTCGCCTGAGCCTACAGCCTTTAAAGCACCTCAGATATCGGATTTTAAGACACACCTCCTCTTTGGTGCGTGGGTCTAGTGATAGTGCCCATGGTAAGCTACCGGGTGTTGGGTTCAATGTTGGGCAGAGAGAAACAACTGAACTGAGATTGGAAATGCGCAGCACACCTGTCAGTGCGTCCCTGCCTGTCAATGATTCGTGACCCGTCCTCCTCACAGATGACCCCACTGATACCGGACATCCTGTATCCAGTGTTTCGAATGAGCTGAAACAGCCTGCAAGTACTTCTAGTGAGAGCGGCGGTATCCATCCCTAGGAAAATTTCAGAGCACTAAACTCACAGGTTGCTGCGAAGGCCTCTTTTGAGTCGTCGGCTGACAGCGTGGCTAACTTCACCCGGGTCTGAGTTCTAGGGGAGAGTTCGGTGGCGGTGGAATAATATCGGATAAAGTGCAGAGATCCAACTTTGCGAGGGACGACAAGCTAATTCACAGACAAACTGGCCGGAACTTAGCAATACATGCTGTATGAACCTCCAGTGGTGTTTTATCTCATTGTGCGGAACACAGACATGCCTTGACCAATGACAGTTAAGAGTTCAGCTGAGTGGACGACTCAGCTGGCCTGTTCGGATCAAGTCTACAATGCTTCCATTTCGGAGCATTCCGAATCACATACGGATATTCAGACAAATGACCGCGTAATTTGATGTAAAAAGCGAGCCAAATTATCTACAGTCAAGTAGTTTACCCCGTCACTTGAAACTGACTACAATGTGGTCAAGTTGGAACTAACGTTGCGTTGGTAAAGAAGGATACCAGGTAGCAGAACATTTTCAAAGGTGCCTGAAGTTTGTGCTTACAAAAGTCGATCCAGGTCCTCACACAAAGTAATGAACCTGGTTCCGCTATACAGGCGAGCCTCATTCAATGCGTGATGACTACTCAGGTGATATTCACCTGGTAACTGGCGGCCAACCTGTTCGGTGAAGCCGCCGGCGAAGACAGTGACGTCCGATTCGGTGGTTTTACTTAACAGCTAATGGAGTTGGTGATAAAAATCGTCATTGATCGGTTCACAGCTGCAGTCGGTTGGTGCATAAGCGGAGACCACCGACAGGTTGTGTACTTTAGTAGTCGACTGTTAACCGGTTTTACTGCTTAATTCCAAGCCAACGGCAGCCAAACCGGTTTCGGCGTCATCAACCATACACATTTTGTATTTAGTAATTTTGTGTGTTCTCCTCAGCTGTTTACAAACAATTTGTGGAAAGGATAGACTACATATGTTGCTTCCTGGTTGGTCGGAGATGGAAACTTAGGCACAGTGCTTGGGTCTTGCAACCGTGCTTCCAAATGACAAGCGATATCAGTAGAGAGAGAACCCGGTGTACGTGCCAAACCGGCCTGTTGCCCGATCTGCTAACTTGTCCGAACAATGAATGCTGCCATTCGAAAGGAGAATCCGAGTCGGAGCACAGCTTCAAGCCAAACTTCATGGACAGTGACTGAACCGGCCTCTGGATTCATAGCAAAAGGATGGTTGATGTGTGATCAAATTGTATGAGAGGCGACGACGACAGAAATGAGTGAGTGCTGGGAAGTACCAAGGTAACCCATGTATTTTGCGTAGGGCGCAATACTACTCAGCTGCACAAACTGAAGTAGGGGGTTGGTTTGCGGGGCACTACCGAGCTGCTGAGCATTTGGCTGACCAAGAAGAGCTGGATGAGGCTAGTGTTGGTTGCAAGTTCTACTGGACGCAGAACGCCATCTCTGCATCACGTAAACCTGTAGTCGGCTTTGTGCTATCCGACCGCCTAAATGTCCAGCTGGTGACAGAGCCGACTGACATCAGTTCACGACTGATAAAGAGGTAAACTTGTTACTTTTATTAGCACGTATAGACCCACCATGAGTTATCCTGATGACACAAGGGATCAGTTTCACACTCATTTATCCGCAGTGCTACGGTCTTTGCCGAGAAACGATCGACCATGCTTGCTGCGTGACTGCGGCTCGTCAAATGTTGCATATATATATATATATATATATATATATATATATATATATATAGCACTCCATGAACAGACATATAGCCATTGGAAAGCAGGAAAGCAAAAGAAGTCACAGTTTTAAACAGAAAACCAGACATAACATCTGAGAAATCCATGGACTAATCCAATCCGTTGTAACTGCTGTAGTATTATCGGACCAGCGGACTAAACACGACGTTCAAAGTATAGCCATCAGGTCAACGGTCTAAAATCCAAACATTCGTCTTTAGCTGTGAATTATGTACATATGGGCGAACTAGACAGCTGACTAAGAGGTTACAATCGAGGAGCGTTATAATACCCTTACTTTTCAAGTTAGTGGTCGCGATGACAGATGGATTGGGCAAAAGGGAAGGGTGGTGTCGGTAGCGACTTTGCGTAGAACTCTACTCGAACCAGCTGAACCAGCACATCACATAAGGCTGTGTGTTTCTGAATGCATCAGTTGCTACCTTCAATTATGCGATGGGGTAAAAAAAGCGACATAAATACGACGTACATTTAACAGTTGGCTCACCAAAGCATATATGTTGTGAGTACCGAGCGCCCTTCAACCACTTTTGAGCGTTTTCCAAACTATAGTCCCTTTGACTACAATGTCTTATCTTCTCGATGAAGACGCACGATGTCGCGTAGTGTCTTCCTTCATGGATAGACAATTTAAAGTCATCGACTATCAGGTTAACGGGCATCCTTAATAGATCTGAGGTCAATACGGCCCATCCTATTGGGCTCATTCGGAAGTTTTCCTAATAACCTTGATATTAACATTTTAACTGTGGCAAGGTTTCCACGTGGTCCGAGAAGATCTGTACTCAGTGAAGCGTGGTGTAAACATCTGACAAGTGGGGATAGGATATCGTCTGTACCTGTTTGGGTTCCGGACACAACACGTCAGATTGCAGAACTGGCCTGCTTATGATCCTGATTAAGGGCTGGTTTCATACACTCGGTTCAGAAAATTCGCATCTTTTGAGCTGTCAAGGCTCGGGAGTGACCAGCGAACTTATGGAGTGATTCAATTATAGTATTCAAGGAGTATCGTATCCCGCATCACGCTTTCTTATTAACTTGGCTACTTCGACGGTTTCCACAATATAAATGCCAAATAAATTCACGATTCCACAATATAAATCTACGCACATCCGATGCTTGCCTCTACTTGGGAAAGAAAAACCGATGGAAAACATGATCTAATTCTCTCTCATAGGAATTAATAACAACACTGCTTTTTTCCTAATGGAGGACTATTTATGATTTAACGCTCAAATTCGTTAAAGTTGTAAGGACATCCAGTTTTCGGAAAACTGGTGCGAAATTAAAATGGTTATGTAAGCCATAAAGTCGGCGACAATTATGCAGCCACCAACCATCAACGGAGATGGTGCACTATCTTTTCGTCATTCTGTAGCCTGTCAGCGTCGTAGTTCCCTTGCAAATTTTCCAATCAACATGCAAGAACCAACTCATACACATCTATAGCACTTACTACGCACGCAGTCGTGTAGCCGTTGTTTACTGGAAAACGTTTACCTATAAAGGAGAAGAATGATAGTTTTTCCAACTATGTTAATATGCAGCTTAGAAGATCGGCAATCCTTCGATTTCCATTTAGACTTGGTTGGTTATAAAAACGTTGTGTTACCTTGGACTCTCCCAATGTTATGCGTGAAAAGGTGGCGCGGTCACACACGTCAGATTTGGAAATAAGACAAGAAAATGCTTGATATCTGAAGAACTCATTGTGCTGTGACCTGAGAGGAAGGAGTACCTGATATGTTTTCGTGAAAACAGCTGTTTCATAAATTGTACCAATGGCCTCGGGATTCAGATGGTCTGTTAAATGGATTGGACACAACACAAAAGTGTTTCGCATTTACATGACACTTATAAATCTCATACCCGTAATATTCAGTTGATGATTTGCCAGTTATTTTTTGGGTAAAGGAGCTTTCAGTTCTATGCGCCGTTTTCCTGCCATTAGTGATTTTATGCGTCACATTCATCGGCATATGTGAAGCTGTCTACTTTGATCTCTGTCTGAATCAGTACTCTCAACGGCAACTTGATGGGTACACCTACTCTTCACCATCGGTTGCGAACTTATTTAATAGCATCAGGCACTCAAAGGTGGGGTCTTTGGAGCTCAACCGACACTTTTACCTATAAGCCACCGAGTCACGAGGAGTAACGCTGCTCACCAAGTTAACGACTGATTAGAGGTGTCATTTTGAAGCACACGTGATGTAATTAGAATGGGACACGGGCTACCCCCAATAGCCAACTGTTCCAACTACGGTGCATTTCATTGCGGATCATGGCCCACGTTGAGATTGCACATCGCAGTCCATTCACACAACGAGTACTCCAAATGACCCCTCCAACACACCTACTTTTGTTTTCCCATCGACCATTTTGACCTCTGTTCACTCGAGATTCACACTGCAGTGCACCTCGGTATGAACTTTTTCTCTCATATCAATTATATTGTCTCATATGCCTCCCTATCAAGTGCACCGGGACAACTCTCTAGAGGGAAACTTGAAGACAGTAGACACGATAAGTTCCCAATGTCATCCAGATGCAAAACCCCATACATTGGCTGCATCTACAAAACGTACTCCTACGCCCATCCCGCATCCCGGCATGTCAGACCAGGGGGAAGAAGAACGAGAAACAGGAATCCAGCCTATCCGTTTCAGCCTCGGTTCACAACGCCTACTGTCACCAGACAAAACGAAAATATCGTTGGGGATGAAGAACCCCGAAAGTCGAGTGAGCGACGCCAGCCTTTCACTTACTCTACCTTTGGTGGCTTTCGGTGGTACTCGCATTGGAACTGGATTGACAAACACACATCAACCATCGTGGAAAAATTCTAGACGCTCTAAAATGGCTGATATCAAGGTGAGTGATTTCATTGCAAATTTTCGCCCTAATACCTAACTTAATTAACGAATTTTTAACAAATATATATCATGCATTTCGTATTGTCTCCTCAGTACCATTGACCAGCATCCCTGTCCCACTGAAGTTCCGTGCTTGCGCAAGCCGCCAGCTTCCTCAATAGGTAAACACCTACTGACTACGCGTCACCGGATAGAGCTTGGATCAGCGTTCACACTTGTATTACGTCACCCTAATCCCCGCTTCCTCCGTTTCGCCGAGGCCGTTGCGATAAGCCCGATGAAGCCGGCCCTGTGTGTTCAAAAGCAATTATTTATCAGCTTAAGACTGCCGTGGACATAGGGGTGAAACTTCCGTCATTCATTTTGCACCCCACGCTTATTCGGTCACACACATATTTAAGTATATAGTTGCATACCGGTTATTGTTAATGGTACTGAGGAGACAATACGAAATGCATGCATCTACCAGTTTTCGTCTTCTTACCGTGCTTTTCAAATTTCTGAAGGGAACTAACTGCTTTAAATATATATCAATTTGCAATTCCTTTGTTCCGAAATGGGAATCTTGACACCACATTCCTCAGGCTGATATCCTTTTAGGCAACAACTGAAAAGCAGCCGTAATGTACAGAATTTGAATATGACAGACCATCTGCTATCGTTCCACAGGTGGTCTGTTGTCACTGTAAAGTGTTGCAAATAACTATCATGGGGCCGGTTGACTTTCCTATATCATTTATGTATCTGCGCTTACAGAACGCAGCTCACAAAGACTAACTATTTAGTTTCTCACTTACAAAGCCTGCACCCAGCCTTTTTTTCTAAACTGTTACAAACATACACCTGTTGCGGACTCTGTACGAAGTCTAGCTGTTATATTGCGGCCCGAAATGTGTGTGGGTGTGTAGTAGTTGGTTTCAGCAAGGTAACAGAATTGTAGATCATTTGTTGCTTGTAAATGCTTTTCTTTTGCTGACGAAATCGTGGAAGATACGTGGAACCGATCGAGAAGTCATGCGTACGGAGAGGTTTGGGAACAATCGTTTGATGCATTTGCTGGGCAACGTTTGTTATTTAATACCATAGCTCCGTCAAACAAGGTGAATCAGTATGCATATGAGCACATAGTCTAAATGACACAAAGAGGCTGCGCATGCGAATACCAGAGGACATAAAACGCATTTCACGATGACCACGACGAAGGATTTTAAGTACCAGGAACTATTCAAATATTCTGCCATGGCTGTAAATGCTTTCGACATGGGTCACAAGAATTAGTTGGACTATGTAGAAATTATTAGGAGGTGTATACGAGCAACGCTCCAGCGGTTGATTACCGAGGGTTGGAAAGTGCCAAATCAGACATCTATGTGAATAGAATGAAGGGGTAGATCTCTCAAGTGCGTGACCAGCGATCTTAATCTGACCAGTCCGACAAGCATTATTGCGCGGATCAAATAGAGGCGGGCAATTTGACTCCTCTTTTTCGCCAAATAGGGGCCCCAACTAGCATAATGGAACATCTGAACTATACCCGTTGTGGCTAGACCGCTGGAGGGGGCATCCAGACTCGTGACTGTAATAGCACTGTCTCATTTCTCTATCATAACAAGTGTAATCCATGTGGAGGGTTTCAATGTTGCTGTCTTCCATCCCTGTACTCCATGGCCGACGGTGTCCTTGGCTGGACATTTCACATACAGTTAGCCCGAGATGACGATATAGCATTGATCACTAGGACATTGAGCGCCACTGTGTCAAGTTCTGCTCACGGATCTTAATGGCCTAGTGATCATGGCGATAGCCGCCAACCACTATGTGTCGAGTTCCATTCCCAGCTCGGCTGTCACCACCTGATGAGTACAAACAAGGATGAAACGGTTGGCCGTGGTGTGCAGGAATGGGAGAGAACAACACCGAAACCCTCCACTTCGGTGACGGTCATAGTGCTCGGAATGGCACATGCTGACTTCAAAAGCAGCCGTAGCTACAACGCCTTCATGCTAATCGGCTGAGCTGGGAGCTGCAGACTGCAATAACGCAAACTGAATATGATAGACTTTACAACAAGGCATCGGAAGTGAAATCAACACAAGGGATAGCTGCGAAAGAAAGACAAATTCGTAAGTTCAATCATTTGATGTCTATGCATAGCAGAACCACTAGTCTCGTAGATAGGTCTGAATCTAGCAGTAACTATTACAATGTAGTTAATATGTCAGATAGGTTGTTGAGTGAGACGGAACGAAGATTACTAAAAATGGGTTTGAACTTTGCTGTAAATAAGCCTAAACTAACTGCAGAGGAAATTATTACTAGCGTTGAGACCGTAATGACGAAACTACCAGTATCAACAGCTGAGGATATTCGTGCACAGATGGCAGACATCATCAGATTTCAGAAGCCTGGTGAGCCAAATCTTACAATAGCGGAGCGTACCGCATTAAAGGCTTTAAGAGAAGACCCCACCATTATCATCACGAAAGCCGATAAAGGCAAGACCGTAGTGATAATGAACAAATCGAATTACGAGGAAAAAATGGAACAGCATTTAGCAGAAGGGCCTTACGAAGCAATTGAGAAAAAATCCGTGTCGTCCATATTGAATAAGTGTAAAACTGAGGTAGGAAACTACCTGAGAAGTGTGAAGAACAACCTAGGGGTGGGCAAATGGTATAGCGTATACCCGAAATCAACGATTCCACCTAGGATCTATGGGCTGCCAAAAATACATAAAGCCGAAGTTCCTGTTCGGCCTATTGTAGATGGTATCGGTTCTCCAACACACGAACTAGCCCGATATTTGGCAGGTTTATTGCAACCGCTAACAGGGAGAACAAATACGTTCGTACGGAACTCCTATGAGTTCGCGCGAAAGGTAGCAGGTATGGCCATCGCGCCAGACGAAATAATGGTTAGTTTCGACGTTAGCTCCCTATTCACTAACGTGCCCAAGGATGACGCATTGGGTATAGCACAGCGTTGTCTTACTGAGGACAATAGCCTGGAGCAGCGAACGAAACTCACGGTAGACCAGATAATCGATGGAATTAAAGTATGCCTTAAGATGTCGTATTTCACTTTCAAGTCGAGACTGTACTCTCAGGAACAGGGACTTGCCATGGGGTCACCAATATCCCCCGTATTGGCAAATCTATATATGGAAGACTTTGAGAGAAGGGCGCTGACAAACACCACTAGTTGACCAAAGATTTGGTGGCGCTACGTAGATGATACGTTTGTGATTATAAAGCGAGATATGAAGGATGCGTTTCTAAATCATCTGAACTCCATTAATGGTAACATAAACTTTACTATGGAACTGGAATCTTGCAGTGGCACACTGCCATTCCTCGATTGTCTAGTCCACAGGAACGGTGGACGGCTAAAGACGACGATATATCGTAAGCCGACTGATACGGACGGAGTGCTCCCTTACAGTTCGGGTTATCCAAAACAAGTCTATGGCGCTATCGCATCCTCTCTGTTTCACAGAGCCCAGACTCTGTGTACAGAGGAGGAGGACAAGAAGGCCGCTCGTAAGGAGACGGTGAGCAAATTAGTAGACAGTGGATATCCGAGGCGGTTAGTGAAACGCCAATTACAGAGAGCTCTAAATCCACCTCCACGACGCACAACGGAGTGGATTGGGACGGTGGGAATCCCCTATAAAAAGGGAACCTCAGAAGCAATCAGACGAGTACTAAACAGGGAGAAAATAAGAGTGGTTTTTCGAAAGGGTCAAACGCTCTATTCAGCACTTATGCGTTTGAAGGATCCACTTCCAAAAGACAGGACAACAAATTGTGTTTATAAAATCAATTGCAAAGACTGTGAACAAGTGTATATAGGTCAAACAGCGAGAGAGCTACGCACGAGGATAGCAGAACACAAGAGGTACGTTTCGCGTCCACCGAGAAATGAGCCTGAATACAGAGCCCTAGTAAAACATTCAGCGGTGGCCGTACATGCGCTAGAGGCAGGACACACGATTGATTGGGACAATGTCGAGATACTTAGGAGGGGATTACCAGCAACAAACAAACGGTTGATTGCTGAAGCGACCGAGATTACTAAGACTAATAACTGTGTGAACAGAACAGACGGGTTAGAGTTATCGAACGCGTGGCGGGTTGCGTTAACCCGGTCAGTCAGAAAAGGTGTCGGCGGACGAACTCAGGTCGGAGTGTGAATCAGCTGCTGCCAGAAAGAAATGCCTCACATGTGAACGACCGATGACGTGGATCAATGAGAAACGCTCGCTGCTTGTTATTTCACTAACGTGGCCACTTGACCTATTGACCTGTAACACTACCCAATGGTTCATGTTATTTTTGTCTTGCAACCTTCCCATAAAAAGCTACGCCAATTTTGTACCAATTCACCTGGCCTGAAGAAGTTCTTGTGTCAAGGGCGAAACGTTGCCACAATAAAACTCTACCAAAACCGATTTGTATACAAAACCTTCCGAAATCATGAAATTGCGTGTCATAACCCGAGGCACACAGTGGGTCCTCCGAAATCCGACACTCGATCATCAGCCATTTTCGCCACAATTCGCTTCTATTGCATCTTGAGTTACCTGGCCTGATGAAGATTTTGTGTCAGTAGTGAACCGTTTCTCATCAAATACACCAAGCGATGGTTTTCAAACCTCTCTGAACGAATTCTCCTGCTTTTATTATGAGTACCAAAGGTGTAAAATGTACGCAAACTAGACATTGGTCATATTCGAATGAAGACCGCTTCTCAAACACCAACCTAGAATATTGGTTTGCATCTCAAGTAATCTCTACAGGATTCCTCACAGTTTGCTACAACACGCAATGGTTCGTCTTGCGCTACACTGCTAATGGGGGGAGATTAACTAGAAGCAGGAAACCTCTCGATATTATTTTCCTGTGCTGGGCTAGCCAGGTTTACAATATGCGTGCAAACATGGTGTTTCAGCGATAGTCGGCATTCTTCCGGAACTGTACTGGAAAATCTGGCTAAAGT